CCTCCACGCAGGCGCTCTCCGTCTCCACGGCGTTACTCCCCCCCCATCCAGAGGCGCTTCAGCCCATCTCCACTGCCCCCCCCTAAGCGGAGGGCCTCGCCTTCTCCGGCACCCAAGCGTCGCACGTCCAGGTCCCCTAAACACCGAGGTTCACCCGCCCCAAAGCGCCGAGGCACCCCGCCTTTGTCGGCCTCGCCACCCTGCCACCGCCGCAGCCCCCTGCTGCCCCCAGGGAGGCCGGCCAGGGATGCCCGTTCCCCTGCACCGCCGGGCTCACCCCCACAGCCACAGCGGCGCCATTCCCCGTCGCCGAGTCAGAGGCCCATCCGCCGTGTGTCCCGCACCCCCGAGCCCAAGAAGGTCAAGAGGTACTAAGCCTGGCTGTTGGCAACATGCCGCGTCTTTCGCTTTCTCACTCTTTCTCTCTTTAATTTATTTATTTTGAACAAGGCTTAATCGTGCATTTGTTAGAGTTTTTAAGTCAGTCTCTCTCTCTCTCTCTCTCTCTCTCTCTCTCTGTCTCTCTCACTCACTCACTCATGCGGCTCATGTGTTTCAGGACTTCTCCGAGCCCCCAGCCTGTAAGGCGGATGCCATCTCGGTCCCCGTCAGCCTCCCCAGAGCCGGCGATCAGGAAGCGTCCTGCGGCGCCTTCCCCGGCCCCCTCGCCGTCACCCTCGCGCTCTGCCAGCGCCTCCCCCCCACCCCCGGCAGCCAAGGCCCACAGCGGCTCCGCCAGCCCTTCTCCTGCCAAGGTGCGTCGCTTCTCCGGGGGTGCGAGGTCGGGAGAGCCGCTGCCTGGGGTGGGGGAGTCACTGGCTCAAGCTTTCCTTCCTCCGCAGAACTCGGACGTTGAGGCCGGAGGCAAGAAGAAGAAGAAGAAGAAGGAGAAGAAGCACAAGAAGGAGAAGAAGCACAAGAAGCATAAGAAACACAAGAAGGAGCGGGGCCCTGGGGGCCCGGACAATGCGGGGCCCGACGGTGACTCCGATCCCAGAAAGGTGAGGTCTCGCCTTCCCACCTGCCGATGATGGGAGGGGCTCTGTCAGGTGGCGGGCCTGCAGGCGGGGCCCTGCCCAGCAGCCGCGCATCTCCTCCTGCTGTTTGCATCTCGGGGACAGAACCCGTTTCTCGACTCTGGGCCGCTCTTCTCTTGCCTTGACGGTCTGACCTTACTGTAGATTATCAAAAGAAAGGCTCTTGTTTGCCTGCCGGGGAGGGGGGGGGGGGGGGGGTGTGGTGTGGTGAGCCGTAACTAATGCTGCCTTTGTTTAAGGATTCAGACAGTGAAGTAGAGGAGAGCTTGGATGAGCTGGAGAGACACCTGAGGGAGAAGGCGCTGCGCTCCATGAGGAAGGCCCACATGTCCCCAGCGGAGTCATGAAGCCCTCCTCTTCCTCAACTTCCACTTTGTTTTGTCCTGTTAACTGGGTTCAGCTTAGAATGTACAAACTGCTGTCTGTTTAGGTTATTTTCTTTGTTTTCTCTTTGAGGATGGGGCTGTGTATTTTCTGTATAGCAGCAAGGGTTGGATTAGTAATCGTTTGGGGGGGGGG